AAGGTCAGTGGTTCAAATCTATCAGCTGCTCTGCAGGAGAAAGATGGGGCAATCTGCTTCTGGAAAGATTTACAGCCTTAGAAACCCTATGGGGCAGTTTCTACTCTGTCCTATAGGGTCACTATGAGTTAGGATTGACTTGAGAGCAACAGGTTTGGCTTTGGGCGTTTACTCCGATCCATTAGTAATCGAATTTTGCTTCTATTTTCCTTCACTGAGCCATTGGATAGGAAATTTCCTCTGGTTTACGAGACACATAGAATTCTCTAAGGTCACTGTTCTCTGTAAGGGCAATTTCATTACTTCAGAAATAAATATGTTAAGCTGGAGCCTTTTCTTTAATGGCAGGAAGTTCAGGGTAATATTGTACATGTAATGCTGCATAATACATTACAGAAGTCTGTGTTGTACAGCAATGAACGGCCATTTCTCTTAGATTCTGTTCTTCCTTTATTATTCTAATTCTTATGATGGCATCTGTCAGGGTGCAGCCCCAGTGTTGTATAAATAAGGTATTAGGAGATAACAAACCTAATTACCTAAATGGGGCAAACAATTCCACTCTAGTGGGAGTCGAACTGCTGACTCTCTGGCTTGGGAAACTTGGGGTGAATAGAAGATCAGAAATGTCATCCTTGTTCAAAACACCAATGACCCTGACAATACCTGGCCAGAGGGGTGGCCACTTAGAAGAAATGGGCTTGTAACCATCTGTGTTTTTCTTTAGAACCTCAAAATCAGCTTTTCACTTTGAAAACTAATCTAAGAATAAGCCTTTTACTGTCTATTACTCTATCAAATAAAATCATTAAATATTAAGTTTCCTTCTGACTAACAGGAATATAAAATTCTCTAGAATCTCTGATTGAATGATATATAAATTAGAATCAGCAACCTGGACATTATGTTCTTGCTTCTTGTTGTTGTTAGCTGCTCTGGAGTCAGCTCTGACTCACGGAGATCTCACGTGTAGCAGAACGAAACACTGCCCGGTCCTATGCTGTCTTTATGATCATTGGTATGTTTGAGTCCATTATCATGGCTATTGTGCCAATCCATCTCATTGAGGGTTTCCCTCGTCTTCATTGGCCTTCTACTTTTCAAACATGATGTCCTTCTCTAGTGCCTGGTCTTTCCTAATGACATGTCCAATGTAAGGCAAACTCCATCCTCGCTTCTAAGGAGCATTCTGGTTATATTTCTTCTAACATTGATTTGTTCATTCTTTTGGCAATTCACAGTAGATGTTCTTGCTAACCCTTCTCGAAAGATGCCACATTCAGGTTCTTAGCTGCCCTTGTTGATACTGAGAGGGTGATCCTTATCTAGGGTGGATTTCCCATTCATTTCACCTCTGTGCATTTCAATCCCTTGCACCTCTTACCTCCCTGAGACCACCATCATGTCTTGCCTGGGCCAGTTCTGCAGCCTCCTAAGTGTCCTCCAGCTTCCACTTTTGTCCAGCTTCTGACCCACTAAGTCTCGGGTTAAACACCACTTCTGGGACCACCTCCTCCCCTCCTCCTTGGGACCCTCTGTGACAAGCAAAATAATGGCTCGCAAAAAATATCCACATCCTCATCCCCAAACCTGTGAATATGCTACCTTGCATGGCAAAAGGGACTTTGCAGTTGTGATTAAGTTAAGGATCTTGAGATGGGAGAGATTATCCTGGATTATCCAGATGGATCCAATGCAATTACAGGGATCCTCATAAGAAGGAGGCAAGAAGGTCAGAGAGAGGAGATGTGACAGTGGAAGCAGAGGAGCGATGTAGCCACAAGCCAAGGAATGCAGTCAGTCTCTAGATGCTTGAAAAGTCAAGGAAATGGATTCTCCCCTAGAATCTCCAGAAGGAACCAGTCCTGCTGACATCTCAATTTTGGCCCACTGAGACTGACTTTGGACTTCTGACCCCCAGAACTGTAAGATAATAAATTTGTGTTGTTTTAAGCCACTAGATTTATGGTTATGTGTTACAGCAGCAACAGGAAACTAATACACCTTCCAACTAGGTAGGTCTACCTTGCCTAGCACTCACTGCCCTGTGATGGTGATAAAAACAAAACCAAAATCCATTGCCACTGAGTCGATTCCCACTCATAGTGACCCTATAGGACAGAGTAAAACTGCCCCATAGGGTTTCCAAGACTGTAAATCTTTGCGGAAGCAGAGTGCCACATCTTTTTCCTGCAGAGCTGCTGGTGGGTTCAAACTGCTGATCTTTCAGTTAGCAGCCGAGAGTTTAACTACTGCACCAGAGCCTGTTTACTTGTCCATTTCTTGCACTAGACTGAAAGTTCCATGAGGACAGACACTATGTCTACCCTTCACCTCTGTGTCCTCAGTACCACGCACAGTGCATGGCACACAGTAGGTATCTAATCAATAATGCTGAATAAAGGGAGGAAGGGAGGAAGGAAGGAATGTTGGTACATCCAGACCACACATACACTGTGGAAGAGTAGTGTCAAATGAAAAACAAACTTGACAAACTCAGCAGTGTTCTTTTCACACCTCCATGTTTTCGCAGAGTTTGTTCCTTCGGTCAGTAACCCCTTCCCATTCCATTTGCCTGGAAAATTCTCATCCTCCTCCATCTCAGCTTAAAGCTGCCTCCTCTGTGAAGTCCTCCTGGCCTTTACCAGGCAGACTCAGCCCGCCTTTCTCTTCCACTAGCCTCCTGGGGTCAGGAAGCTCATCTTATAATCACTGTATCTCCATGTCTTGGCATAGTGCCTGGCATGGAGCAAACATTTGTTTTCTGTTGTTGATGATGACGATCTTTCCTTCAGGCTATAAACAAAAGCTCCATCAGAATCACCCCCCACCCCCCGCACTAGCAGGCATTGATTTAGCACCAAATAGGCCCAAGGGGCTATGCTATGTCACAGTTCTTGCCAAGGTTCAGGGGTCTGCTGTTTACCCGGGGGACATACACCAGGTCACTGGCATTAAGATGAATCCTCACCAGGTAACAAACCGTGCCTGGGCATGGAGGCCCAGTAGAGCTGGGGCCATGTCCTGCACCAACCTGCATTGTGGAGGGTTCCAGAGCTTCTACTGGGGCTGGGCAGAACTGGTTATGAGAAAGGTCTTTTCACACTCGGGCCAGTTCCTCAGGCCAGTTTGCTAAGAGATCGTCCCTGGGAGCAGAGTTTGAACAGAATCCACCAACCCCTGAGTTTCCAAAGTACCAGAGCAAAAACTAGAGCTTCAGTCTCAAACCTGTCAGTCACTGAGTGACCTTGAAACTGTCATTTAGTTTCTCTGCTTACTTATCTGTGAAATGTGAATAATAACGCTCACTCTTTTCCCCCACAGGATTCTTGGAAATAACAAATGAGCTTCCCCAGTTTACTGACTGGAGAATATTTTTGATGTCAGAAGTACTGGCTGGGGTCGGAAGATGTTACAATACCTTTTGTGTATTTAATGAAACATGAAATTAGTTGCTTTAGCAAATAGGACTGCACTTTCCAATGGCTGGGAAAGGATTGGATTTGTGCCTTTTCCCTAGGTTGCCTACGTTCCCAAACGCGATTGTAATTAATCCATTTCTCCATCTCAGAAACCACAGCGACTCTCATGCTAATACAAGGTTGCCTTGTGGCTTCGGATATGCTTCTGGAGGTCTCTGTGCCTGGAGCCAACAAAGAAGTAAAACTGGCTAGATGGTGGTGGTGGTGGTGGTGGTGGTGGTGATGTTGGTGGTAGACCTTCTTGAGCACTTACTTTGGACCCGGCACTCAGACAAACACTCTGCTTACATCATTGCATTTGGCCCTCACCACAAGGTATTACCATCCTGTGCTGTTCATGCCCTCCAAGAAGCAAATGTCAAGGCAGAACTAAATATACATAGATTTTATTAGGGGAAATGCGTGCATGAGAGAAATCAAGACAGCCATCAGACACAGTGTAATTCTGGCCCCAGGTGAAGGAGAGAGGGAAGAAGGACAGATGTAAGCATGCTCAACTGCCTGCAGTCTAAGGAAGGTTCAGCAAGGCCATCAAGGAGCTCTGGAGCCAAAGTCAGCCATAGAGGAATCCTATGTCTCCCAGAAAGAGGCCGGTCTCAGCATCGTCCCCACACCTGGTCCCCGGCTGGGAGCAGCCCATGGGTGAGGTCTCCTCGGGACAAGCCTAGTGGGAGATTTCAGGGCAGCAGCCAGGGCT